CTAGTGAGCTCCAGTCAAAGTCACAGCTGAAGACATATCATAGGTTTTCGAACACGATAATAATAACCATTATTAACACTCACAACCGTATTTTAAATAATTCGTTAGAGGAGAAAATTCAATCTTGCTCTGGAGGGGGGGGGGGTTAGCAAAAATAATCGTTATCTTTTTTTTCGTTGCACAGATAAATAAGATAAATAACTGCAATAAATAGATATTATTTTATACAACTTTTTTACCAATTTACAGTTTACTTTTACATCACAGTAAATTAATAGCTATTGGAATACAAAAACAGCATAGTTAACAAAACTTTTCAAACACCTATCAATATAATTATTTAATTATCATAATATTTGTATAGTTGTATATTTCAAGTTCAAAGCGTAATAATGAAACTACGAGTATATTACACGTCATCAATAATAAAACAATTTTTTTTTTTTGCCCTGGGGGGGTTTGAACCCGAGACCCCTCCCCCGTATCTACACCACTGGCTGTCGTATTCACATGGGTCTCTTGTGTTTATAGTTATATCTCTCATTTTTTTTTATTATTCTTACACTTCTTCTAATACTGACCTTCAATGTCTATTATTGGCATGTAATCAACTTATGCGGGTTTGTTGTGATCAGATGAACACATTACGACAGTCTCATATACTAATTCAATCGAACGTGATACGTTGAACTTGCATGCAGCGTTTGTTGTTGACACCGCAAGTGTTTGCCTAACCCTAGTGATTTTACTAAATTGTTATTCCTACGTAGTAATATTCTCAGTTAGGTTGGATCTACATCTACAAATCAAAATAAGCATCGCTCACGGTCTAGAAAAAATTCGGCCTATATCAAACGACTTTTGGCAAAAAAAAATATTTTAAGATTATCGTAATTGATTTATAACCGACCATCTCTATGTTTGTATTAGCAACAGTGGCAGGGCCGTTAAGAAAGGAGGCATTTTGTTCCAGGTTACAAACTTTTGGAAGCCACAACATCCATTGTTTTTTTTTTGTTAACTATGGTGGAGTAAGCTAAGTTCCGAGTTATACATTGTCATTAATATTTAATAAATAATTGCGTTATACAAATTAATCACAAATAGTTTTTTTTTTTTTTTTATTTGCGCAATAGCGTTTGCAAAAAAGTACTTTTAAATTGTAATTAATTAACAAATTACGTAGAATCTCTGTATTTTGATTATGTTCTAAACGCGCAGTTTAAATAATATGTGTGAATTTCTAATATTTCATTTAAACCAATATAATTTTATTTTATTGGAGAGGGGTTAAAACTCCATAACCGCCCCTGGTTTACCACTGTATAGGCCCCATGCTTTAAGTTGTTTTAGATCCCACTAAACTTTACGACGGTCCTGCGTGGTGGCGCCACTGTCGATTATATTTCATTTCACTGTACAGTATCGTAACTTGTTACATGTCTATGTTTATGATGTATTATGTTTTTATAAAACTTGAGTTTAATTGAAGAAAAATTTAGGGAAAAAATGAGATTTGAGTAGTTTTTGTGAATTGAACGCAAAAAAATCATTTTCAATAAACACTTATAATTTAAAAATTCATTAGTTTTATAGAACTTTAAAGCATAGTATTAACGATTATATAATATTATAATGAAAAAGTCAAAAAGAGAGATCAATGCAAAAGCTATTTTTAGTTTTTAAATTTGACATGAATGCATATAGATATTCAATTTAGATTTATAAAAGTCTTAAATAAAAAAAATAAATAACCACTAGGGCCAAAAACTTAAAACTGGTGACAAATATATAAAACCATATTTTGTGAAAAAAATAAAATAAAATTGCTATTTAATTTATAATTTACGGTAATTAATGATAATTATATAATTAATAATTTACGTAATAGTAACTACGTAAAACTTCGATAACCAAAATAATATACATTTTTAAATAAAATAAAATTATATTAAACCTGTGTTCTGATAGTGACGATAATAATATTATTGTTAAACTTCATAAATTATTAATTATTATCTCATATTTAAAACATTATATTTTTCAAAATCACATTAGTGAATAATCAGGGCTAAATAATTGAAATTAAAAACCTACAGAGTAAACAATTTCGGCTGATTAACAATAGAAATATTGTCAGATTATGGACTCTAAAATTAGAAAAAGTTATAAAAACAAAAATAAAATTTAAGACATAACAAAATAACGATAAGTAATTGATAAATAATGTGTACGTTATTCGATTCTAACTATAATTTTCACATTTGTTCTAGGTAAGTACCTTTAAACAATGGCGCCGATCACCTAATTTATCTATGACATATGTCAAAGTAGATTTTATAGCTGGGGGCCCACCAAGGGTTGCTAGGGCCAGGTTGTGGGCCAGAATTTTACTTGTAAAGAATTGAAATTATTAGTGAATAGCAATATTAGTACCTAACTGCTAATAAACACTATAGCCTATTTATATAATAGGTAGTTAGTGGATTATGATTCTACTGATTCTAGACTCTGATACCAAATATAGTATACTAAAATTATTATACTAACGTAGTAACGTCTAATAACTAACTGTTGAGCTGTCAAATGTTGAACATGGTCAATGATCATAAAATTATGACGAAATAAACTATATATGTTGTATTGTTATAACTATGAATAGTTATTTTGTTATGGATTTAATAATTTAACGTATTTAAGGTAAAAGATAATCATAAATGATCGTTACGTCTTTATTTATTTAATTACTTAGGTAGGTATATTGATTTTATACTTTTATGGTTTTACTTTTTACGAAGTAACAGTGAATAATATTTGACTACTGTATACGTATAGGTGCGATCCCACGGCGCGTGGCTTGGTACAGTGCGGTATAACGAACGCGCCGTGGGATTGGTGTGGCGTGGCGCGACCGTTCCCGATGATTGTCGGTATTTGTGTCCCGTGTCAAAAGGAAATTGGCGCGGCGCGTTATTGGTATTGGAATCCCACGACGCGGCGCGGCTTGTTCACTTTTTCGTCAATAATGTTTTCGTTAATAATTTACTTTTAAAATTGGTATCTACCCAATATCGTCTTTTTTTTCTGGATGCTTTGTTTGTACAATTTGATTTTAAAATTTCACCACATGCCAAAACACAATATGATGCAGCACAAATTGCAAGTTTTGATTTTTCATCACGATCTTCCATTGTTGTATTATTCAATAAAATAGTAATAAATATGGTAATAAAAAAATATTTTTACACAAAAATACGGTAATTATAACCAACGTCCAATACACGTCCTACTATAAAAAGCGAAGGAACACTATGATCAATGCTCACCAGAACTTAAAACCAAAAAAAATAAACTGGTACTGCATTTGGCCGCGCCTGGAAACGCGCCGAGCTACGCGCTTTGGGATTACGTAGAAAGACGATCGTGATGGCGCGTGTGGTGGCGCGGTACATAGTCGAATAACGCGCCGCGCGCCGTGGGATGCCGTCTTAGTACTGATAACTGCAAGAGATTTTACGTTTTTTTTTGGATTATTTCTAATAGGGGAGTGGACATCTTACAAAATTATTAAGTTAAGTACTAGGTGTTGTTTAAAAAGTTTTTATATATCTAGGTCATCCATTAAATGTATACCCACATGGCCACGCGACAACACGCGCGCACGCACATTTAATAAACATGTTTACAAAAAAATACATAATTATAAAATACTTTAAACTCATAGCAAAATATTTTACATGCGTGTATTATTTTTATATGATTACAACTCGTACGCAGTGCCGCGTTAAGCTATGTTGCCGTCCGTAAGAAAAATAATATTTTAACAGTCAAAAAAAAAAAAATCGTCAAACTGAAAAGATGTTTATACATCTAACGGTGCCGATTGCCAAGATGAAATATATCGATATACTTACACCCGACTATTTTGGGGGGAAAAAACGTACAAGAATAACGAAAATAGTTTATAGGACTACAGCAGTGGCGTATATAAAGAGGGGGGGGGTCTAGGTTAGGCCCGAAATGTTTCAAAAACCTTAAAAATTATTTTAAACGTTTGTTATATTTTAATGATGCTTTATGCTTATTTAGAATTTGCGTCCAACGGCAAATATAACCATGTTCACGTGGTCTATATTATTTTTTATTTTTTTGATATTCTTTTTTTTATTTTGAATCCTCCGAGAAAAAATGAATCTTTATCAAATCGTATCCTTTTAAGACATTCTGTAAATTAAATGTAGATAAGTACCTACTGTGTCTTGATAGTAATTCTGAGATAGCAGTGGTAATTTAATTCTGTCCATAGTAGCCCTTCCCGAAAATATTTTCTGTATACGCCTCTGGATTACAGTACAAGTTGCTAATTCTTATTGTCTTGTGACGTGCAACGGTAGACTGCGGCTTTTTCGTGGTATTTATGAACGTAATATTATGTATTCTAGTCGTTTAAAAAAAAATTTTAACGATATATTTTTTATTTTATGTTGATCCTCAAAAATTTGCCGTCCCGTCGAACACCATAAAATTTACAGCCCCGGGCCAATTTCTCCCCTTCCCTCATTTGCCCCATGTTAAACGCGGCTCTGTTCGTACGAAATATAGATCACATTAACATAATACAATATTGCCGTGATCAATAAAATTCAGTTGAACCTCGATCATCACAATGATAATATCTAATAATACCCGTATGGGTAAACATGTACATAATTGCACAGCAATGAAAATATATAATACGTAATACAATAATAATAGTAAGAATATAATTTGCACGTAAATATGACATATAATTATGTATAACATGTTTATAATCTCGCTGAAAATAATAACACGTGAGAGCCGTCGGGCTAGGAGAGGCTAGGAGAGGTAGGCTGTCGCAGACAAGTCCGTATATCGTAAGCGGCAACCGAACACAACGAGAGCGTAACGACGGACGGGCATATAGCAGCAATAAGCCGCCGCCGCCACCGGAATCGAAGTAGCGCGCGCGCTAACTTATGTGTATAATATTTGAGCGGTAACGCCGCCGGGACGTCGTCGTCGTCATCGTCGTCGTCGTCGGCGTCGTCCGGTGGCTGGTGGGAGAAATTTAGCTCTCTTCCCTTGGGCCTGACTGTATTGGTTTTTTTTTTCCACTTGGCGGCAGTTTTCAAGAATATACAGTGCCGTACCACCGCCGTCGATCATGTTCCTTTTCTTTCGGTTCTGACGACCCCGCCGAACGGTTGTCGTCCGTCACTCGAACAACGGTCCTGCAAGCCACCGAAAGACAGCCGAACATCTCGACAGCAGCCAGCCACCGTCCAACAACACCGTCTGGCCGTCCACGGTTTTCGCACATCGACCACCGTGTGTTCCTCAGGCGTTCACCCAAACAACTTTCACCCCGCGTAAAAAACTACGTCGGAAAACCCATCGATCCGTCACACCGTCGGACAATACGACCAAGTCGCACCCCGAGGACGCACACCACCGTGAGTGATGATGTCGCACAACAGTCCGTCGCACACGACCGTGTCGTTCATCTGCGCCGCAGTAATTCTTCACGCCGCCGGTACGTACACCTAATACGCGTTCGTTTTACCAACACGCAAGTGTAAATCGTAATACGACACAACAACATTATTATTACTATTATTATTGTTAGTAATTTATACATTCCATCCGAGAAGGTGCGCATATTAGCCGCAAAAATCAGTCTTAAATCGGGTTCGCGAATATAGTTGTAACTGTGTTTTTGTTATTTTTCCTTCGGAAACCGGTTTTACCCGCTTTTCGTTCTATCTGCAATATGTTTAATTGATTTGCTCATATTGTGTATATATCAGTAATAATAATTTACGTTTGTTCACCGTATTATTATTATGTTTTCCATGTTATCATTTATACCACTCCACCCTTCGTCCAGTAAAGCTTCTTCACACGATAAACGTGATGGTACATCTCATAGATGAATTTACCTCGAACGCAGGAGCGCGTAGGCCGATGGTGAGTTATCAAGCTTAAACTGCACTGTAGTACAACAACTTTGATGATTTTTAACACGGATAACTAAAAATATTTAACATACTTTGTCGAAATTGTTTTGAAATTCCGTAAAACACAACGACGAAACAAAATACATTTTGGCAAACCCACCACTGACTCTATTGATGTGTTGGTTAGAGAATATCTGTCCAGTGTTTAACTTGTCCTCGTATAAATCGATTCTTCAGATTTCCTATTTGCTTATTTTCATAGATTCTTCCAAGCGAGGCAAGAAATGTGTCTATTGATTTTATCATAAAAGAGGATTTTATATCGCAATATCGCATCATTTTCAAATTATGTGTGTTGATTTTTTTTTTGTTATTTAAAAAAAAATTAGAAATTTTCATATTTTTTAACCTTCTATTTGTATAATTTCGATAAAATATGTATTTTAAACATTCTCTAAAATGTCGAAAATTATAAAATTGTTGTAGTTGAAAATTCATAAAACTTTCCATTTTATTACTAATAGTTTGAAAATTAAATACTAAGTTTCACTAAGTACTTAATTCTTTATAGTCTATAAAAACACGAAAACCGTTTATTTAATTTTATTAATTTTGATAAATCGATATTAGTTGTTTTTTTTGTTTAAAAACGCTAACCATTGTGACTTGAACCACAAAATGTACACATATATTAATGACTATGATATATTATATTACACATATTATTATTTATGATTATACCTATACATATAATATAATTTAAGCTGTTATTATTAAATTAATTAAATCAAAGTCCAAAGATAATAGGTACTTCCATGTTACATGCGTTTTATTTTATTGTAAAAGCTTGTTTAATTAATCTGATTACGAAATTATTAGCCACATATACTTATATTTAAATATTAACTATCTTTAGATATAGAGGCTGATCCAATATTTTCTAAGAATCGTTTTGAGAAACTGATGGTATTAGTTGATTTCGAATTTATAAGAACAAAACAATTCAACTATATCACTCATCCGTCCCTGTATTGCAATTAACAGGTGTTTTCTCTCTTTATTTATTTTGTGGTACAAATATAAACTTAGTAGTTTTACCATTTCGTACGTATATATTTTTACTAAAAAATAATAAAACTGTACGGGAATATAATTTTATAGTTATGTAAGTACATACCTAACGTGTGCCAACCCTATCAGATATACTACACATATTATAAATAATGTACATAGTATATCAGTGGCGTATATAGAAGGGGGCTAGTGAGCTACAGCCCCCCCCCCCCCCCAAATGTTTTATAAAACTTAAAAATTATTTTAAACGTATGTTATTTTTTAATGGTGCTTTATGCTTATTTACTCGTAGAATTTACGTCCAACGTCAAATTGTTTTGGGATATTCTGTAAATAAAATGTAGATAAGTACCTACTGTAACTTGTTATTAATTCTTAGATAACAGTGGTAATTTAACTCTGTCCATAGTAGCCCTTCCCGAAAATATTTTCTGTACACGCCACTGTAGTATATATAATATATATAATTATATGTTACAATAATAAAACTTGTTAAACAAATCAAAGTAAGTAGTTTAGTTAGTAACAGTAAGCATATTTTTATGGAGCAGTCTAAAATTACTAGACCTTTCTTAACTGTTCTTCAATCTACAAATTGATTTTTATCATTTATTCTTATACATTTATGTTTGAAGTCATACTTAAAAAATTATATATTTAATTCAGAAAGCTTGTGTTTATAAATTTGTATGTAATTAATATTAAGACATGAAAAAGGTATATATGGATGATCTTACTTCGAAAAAAATGATTTTCGGTTAATATTGCATTTACCTTTTGAACACTAGGAAACCAAAACTGTCATATTAATACAGTAATCATTCGTTTCTCTCGGATTTTTAATCCGCGATTGAGTCTGCGATTAAATGTTATTAATGCGATTACATTTTAACGATATTATACGAGCACTATAGGTAATTTAAGTAGATACATTTTTATAGATAATTGTTGTTATATCACTAGATATAACTATACAACTGTACTTATTACAGATAAGCTACATAAGGTTCTTACACGTACGGTTAATGACTGTTAATTGTTCAGTTATCAGTTGATATTTGTGAAATCTTAGATAAATTAAAAAGTGGTGAAACTGTAGCGTAACTTGCTAGAAAGTACGAATTTACGAAATATGTAAATAATATAATTTTAAAAAATACATATTAACATTATTGTGAATTTTAAAATCAAAAAAATAAAACTTTTTTTTAATTAAAACTTTTAATGCATAAAAATAATTAACCTAGCTAATTTTTAGATATTCCATTATTTTCTAAGTATATCAAGGGTACAAAAGAAAAACGGTAGTAACCCATTTCTGTACATTTTTCAAAAGATCAAAAATAACCGTATGGACTACAATCATTCTTCACCGATATACCTAAACCTTTTCAATTAATATTAGCGAAATGAGATCTTTTTTCGCGGAATCAATTTTAATGCTCAATACTATTACAAATTTGCTTATGAATCATAAATAAAAAATCAAAAAAAAAAGAACTACTGCCATTTTTCTCCTATACCCTTCATTTGTGTTAAAATTCCACTGTTAAATTCTAAATAATAGGTATATATTTAGGAAAATAAATTTAAAAATTGGTTTGTCAGTGAAATTAATCAACGAATTCGGTTAATTAACTTCAAATATATTAAATATAAAATTTAAACTGATCTAATGTTATTTCAATTGTATTATCTAATGATAAATAAAATATATTGATCTTAAAATGTTCTTCCGCTGAAGTAGAGCAATAATCTAGGAGGATTTTATCATAAAAACTGATTTCTTTTTTTTTTTACATTTTTGTGATACACCCAATTTTTTTCGATTTCTATTGTTATTTCAAAAGAATCACTATATTTTTACCTGTATTCTTAAATATTTATCATATAGAACTAAGCAAAAGGCTACATTGCTCAGTTTTTGTCGAAGTACTTGTTTAGGAGATAGACTTACAACATATATAACACACAGTTTTCAAAATTTTGCCAATAATTTTCTTCGATCATTTCATTTTTATTTTTGCTTCCAAGAATTATTTACAAAAAATATTTTAGAATATTAATATTACAGCTAATAAAGAATCATACCTTGATGACCAAACGAATAGTACATAATTTTTTTTATGTAATTGAAATATTTGATGACTTTAAAAATAAAAGTAATTATTAACGTTTAATACTATTCGAAAAACTTTATATAAATGTTTTCAAAAGTACAAAAAAAGTTTTTACTTCAGTTGATAAATTAATTGCATCATTTAGAACTAAGTTCAAATTATGTAATCATAATGGATGTTATTTTTGTTTTGATTTTAACTTAGCTTGGACGCCTGATATACACCACTTGTGTTGGCATCCCACCATACCATACCATTGACCACAATGCCTTAATAAATTTTAATTATTTTTTGTAATACAATTAATATTTAACCCTTTTAAACCAGCAATTGATTAATCTAAAATCTCTTTAAAGAAAATAAATTATTTATTTATTTGCAGTATTATAGGATTACCGCTAGAGTCTAAAACCTTAGTTAATTTAAAAAAATTGTTATCAAAAATTATTTGATAATTGAGATTATCAAATAATTTGACTTAGTTGATCTATCTTACTAATATCTTGAGTAGTATAAATTATTATATTCTTATTTTCTTTTAAATAATTGTATTTTTTTTTTCTGTAATGAACCCCCTCCCCAGCCAACGACCTATGTAATTTGTACATCTCACAAATGTATGATATGCCACTACATGCATAATTTATTTATTTATTTATTTATTGGTAATTCAACATTATAAAATAGATAATATTTAAATATAAATTCTATTTAATATGTATATATAATATAAGTTTTAAAACAAATTTGAAAAATCCAATATGACGAGGAAGTCATAATTGTATAGATTTATCACCACCACTATATCAAATAAGACTATTTTTTAAAATGAGTTCTAAATTTAGTGATTTAATATTTTTATATTACGTTTATATTGGACAAGATGTTTATTCTTCTTTGACCTTAATAGAAAATCGTTTATCGAATGGATTAATAAAGAATTATTTTTAAACTAAAACAAAGAATAAATAAATAGGACTAACATAACTTCAAAACAAAGAATTTAAGTATAGTAAACTTTTCGTATTTTTGTTTAATTTTTTGTAAAATTTCATTATTTACAACTATTATTGTAAATGATACATGAGATGTTAATGTATTTTCTTTAACATTTTAAATATTTATAACTGTATTATTAGTGCCGTAATTACGCTAATTTGGACTCGTATGTAAATAAAACGAATGCCCTCCCCCCGCCCGCATCTGGACTCTGCAGGGAAACCGAACCTTTAATCAATTTTGACCGAACTATTTTGAACTTTGATTGTACAGGCCGCAAAAGAAACGTCGATATACGATAATATGTACAAAACAAAATCGATCAATTGTACAATTCACATTGATAATTATTTTACAAAATGGTTTTATTTTCTTACTTTGTA